GGCCAGGTTGGTACAATAAACTAACTACCTTACTTGGGCTTACTTAGTTCACTGTCATGAACAATTCACATTTTTTTTCTACCTCAGAGATTCTGCTCATGAAAGCAGCAGTCAAGAGATCCATCTGCTGCACAAGACCTCTTCTAGGTGTTGAGAAGTAAAGATGTTACTTTGAGGAGTAAGGTGTGCCCGACCCAAGCCATGGTGTTTCCAATCCCATCAGATGCAGGTGAAAGGTGGACCTTGAGTAAAAAAGACCGAAGAAGAACCGATGAGTTTGAATGATGGTGCCGGGGAAGAATCCTGAAAGTGTCAGGGACGGTCCAGAGAACCCACAAATCTGTCTTGGAAGAAGCTCAGCCAGAGTGCTCCTTAGAGGCAAGGCTAGTGAGATGCTGTCTCATGGACTTTGGATGTGTTATCAAGAGACCCCCTCCTGGTTCAGAAGGACATCGTGCTTGGTAAAGTAGAAGGGCAATGAAACAAAGGAAGGCCTTCCACAAGTTGGATTGACACACGGTGGCTGCAGCCAGGGGCTCAAACCAAACCCTTGTGAGGATGGCACAGGACCGGGCAGGGTCTCGGTCTGTCGCACAGAGGGTTGCTCTAGGTCAGAACCGGCTAGACGGCACCGAACCACCACAACAACAAAGGCTCTGCTTCTAGGTGAGGTTAGCAGCTGCCTCTCTCCCAACACGAAGTTTCTGTTCACATTAATAAGGACCGCTGGTGGCGCAGTGGGCCGTGCCTTGGGCTATTCACCCCGAGGTCAGCAGTTCGAACCCACCAGGCAATCCGATGAGAGCAATGAGTCTGTCTGCTCCTATAGAGATGACAGCCTTGGAAACCCACAGGGGCAGTTCGACTGGGCGGTAGGGTTGATTGGAGTCAGAACCAACTCCATAGCAGTAAACTTGGTTTTTAGGTTTGCTGGTGTGTTAGACCGGGTTGACTAGAGAAACAAATCCAGGGACACGTATATATGTGTGAGAGAATTTTATAGCAAGAAGTAATTATGTATCAATAAAACATCCCAGCCCAGTCTTCATCAAGGCCTTAAGTTTGCTATTAGCCCATATGTCCAATATTAGCCCATGAATCCCTCTTCAGACTCACGCAGCCCATGCAGTGATGCCCAATGCAGGAAGATCACAGGCTGGTGGGTGGAAAGTCCTGTGGGCCCAATGGCGGTGGAAGCATTTCCAGGGCTCTGGCTGCCATCAGCGTGGCTCCTTGGGACTTTTCAACAGGAAGGTGAAGCCGAGAGGGAGAGAGAGAGGAGAGAGAATGTGCGTCCTGCCTCCAGGGAGGAAGAGAGGAAGTCCCAGCATCCTCATGAGAAGGCCACGCCCACAAGGAGGGAGCACCAGGCTTGTGACCTGATTGACAGGCTAGACTCCACCTCCACCCCTTCTTTCTTGTTTATCAAGTTGACATGAAATTGTGTAACTACCACAGTTGGTTTGACAGGAATGAAGGACCCAAGAAGCAAGGTAAGCAAGGGTTTACTTGTGCTTGCTTACTCATATGTCATGAATTATTCCACATTTGCTCACTTGGGGTTAGGGTTTGGGTTTTTGAAATGTGGTGATAAGCCTATGAAAGAATTGACTACAAGGGACTAAGTAAACACAAATAGGTCTGTGCTTACCTCCCTTACTGGGCAATCATCCCTGCTTCCAGGTGTGGAACCTCTAGGAAGGACCAGAAGGGGGGATAAGGAGGCTGCATTGCCAGGGAGAAATCATGGGTGGGGCTCAGGGCCTCTTTCACTAGACCCCAGATGGTCTCCAGACATTCAAGGGCAGTTCTCAAGGTCATGGCCCAGCTCCAGGGGACCATTACCTCAAGCACCCAGAAAGCTCAGCTGCAGCCCAAATTAATACCGTTAATGATGGAAGGAGCAGGTGGGGCAGGGGTGGGGGTGTCGGCCAACTTCCCTTCTCCCTGCCTCCTTCTTGGCTTCATACCATCCATCGTCACCCACCCCCCACCCCCCAGCCCATCCCTGAGGTCCTCACGGGGAGACATACT